CCCATTGGCCGGGGCTCATCCACTGTGACACGCCCAACTATGTGAAAGTTTGTTTTCATTAGCAGCACATTGCAGAGGTTGTTGGAGTATACGGTGCGTGCATGTATAACTAGGTAATTACACTATTACACAGCTAACTTTCAGGTTTGTTAGAAAAAACTTGAATGCTTTGGAAAATCGCAGAAAAGCTCTCCTTGAGGTTTGATTCTGTTTTTAACACTTATCCTCTCATATGAAAAATGTTTCTCGAAGATGTGTAATTTACTAAAAATATTTGCAGTTACCCCCCTAATTTTGACACAGAACCAAACTGCAAAGGAGATTTATTATTATTATTATTATTATTATTATTATTATTATTATTATTTTTTTTTTGGTAATTTTCACACATCCAGGATTTTTTGTATTCAATCTTGTTTCTGTTCTTTACTGCTACAGGTCGAAACTACTTGGCACTCTAAAGGTTCGAGATACTTACATCAGATATCTTGCATACTCATGTAGGTCTATAGGTGAACAAAGGATCCAGAAGCTTCTCGAGTGATTTGATAGGACCCGTTGAGGCGTGCTCTGGCGAAATAAATAATATTAACCGACAGCGGCCAAGTTTTATAAAAGACGCCATGATTGATCCTAAAGCTTTCTGGAATCCATAATCTTCAATCTGTTTGGCTCAAATAATATCTGGCAAACTCAGAAAACTCACTTCACTTGATGAATCATCTTGATATCTGTATTTGTATTTTTAGGTTATATTTTTGTTCTCCTTTTTTTCTTATTATTTATGTTTGAGGGATATGAAGTTGTCCGTGTAGATTTATCATTGTTGAGAAAGCACAATTAAATGAAGAATTCGTTTTTCCTCTTAAATTTGTATTGGTAGTTTTACAATAAATAATTATGTGAAATAATATTTATTCTTTCAAGTTTAATGTGTTGATGAAGATCGTGTATCGAGACTTGATTTTTGTGTAAGAACTCGCGCTAACGGCCTTGTTTCAAACACGATAAAATGTGTAAACCCAGACTGAAGGCTTTGATCCGTACATTAATAAGTGAAAAACCCTCACCAATGGTCTTTGGTTTTTACTAGGAAATGACTTGGAGACGAGCTTTTTTTCTTAATTTTAGTTACTTCTAACTTAATTCTCAAACATACAGACAAATGTTCTATTTAGGCTAAATTGCATATAAAAATACCACTTTTCATGTTTTTGCAATTTAATCACCACCTACAATTTAGCAATTTAATACACCACTTTAGTTATTTCTTGCAATTCGAATCACAGGGCACAATTCCGGGCATGTTCTGGTGACGTGGAATTTTTCTGATGACGTGGTGTTTCCACGTGTCAATGACGTGGCATATTTGGGCTGACGTGGCAGTCTATTTCAATTGAAAAAAAAATCTATATGCCTTACAGTAGGAGGATTCGAACCCTGGCCTCCAAAAGAGAAGGATAACTATGCTACCAACTCACCCATCCATGTTAGTTAACATATTCAATAACAATTTATATATATAGGAATTACGAATG